AGATAGATGGTATAAAAAGATCAGATGTGCAATCTCTTTATATCCTTGCTTTTTTATTCGCCATTAAAATAAGAAAAGCTGTAAAACTTTACGTTGTGATGTGTTTTAAAATGTAAACGAAAAAAATGGTCGCCAAGTTTTTTAAATATTTATTCCTAGCTAACGATGTCAATTTAAGCTGAAATATTTGTAGTATATTCATAAAAAATTTAGTCTAAAATTAGAGGACCAAATGAATGTTTTAAGAATGCATCGTTTGAATCTTAAATAACAATCCTTCCCCCTTCCTCCTCATTCCTCCCCCCACGTGCAGACTTTTAAAAACCTGTCTACAAAAACACAATGCTTAAATGGCAAAGATGTATGACGTACAGTTTTGCAAAAAGGTTTGAGGAAGCGGCGAAATAGCACAGTTCGTTTATGCAAATTGAACCTTTTCCCCTTTAACAAGAAATAAAGTGCAAAAAATATCTATATTTTGATGTAAATATCACAATAGAATTGTATTCGCGAAATTACAGAGAATTTACGGTTCGCACACAAGATTGGTGTTAAATCGGTTTACCAAAAAAGGAAGAATTCTAATTGAATAATTATCTTGTTTTTGTATAATATCGTATCTACCTTTTTTACCTTGACAAAAGTTTAAAAATATTTTACGGACAACTTACTTGAAGAAACTGTAAAGCGTAATGTCCAGTGACCATCCATGCAAAGATGGCAATGTGACATTATAATATCTAATTCACACTAGATCAGACAAAGTACTAATTGTGAATCGAGTACTGCCATCTTTACATGGAGGGGTTCGAAAAATCGCTTAGAATCCCTCTAAGAATTTCAATTTCAAAAGTAATATTTTCTTGTTTTACAATATATTCAGAACAGTTAGCAGCCAGTTGTTGACTCACCCAACCTTATAGTTTATTATACATGTACACACCCAGTATTGTTGCTAGCACCATGACCATTCATTCTTCAATCCTTTAATCCTTATAGGCTATAGTATCAAGTATATTGTGAAAATGTTTTTAGATAATATTCTGAAAGTATATTTAAAATTTTCTTTAATCCCCCTCTGCCTTACCCTTTATAATAAAATGTCAATTTACAAAGAAAATATATCATTAGATGAAACTTAATTTGTAAATACGATGAACTTGTAAAAATTTGTTTAGTTGTTTAAAGGGAGTGACCGGCAATGTATGGTAGTTGAACTGAGATTTAATGTGCATATTTGTTCAGCAGTAGCGAAAATTCAATATTTGAAATTCTCTTTGATTGTCAATTTTAGAGGGATGATTTTGAGAATCGGTTTTTAAAAAATTATTCAAAAACGACGTACGAAATTTCCACAGTAAACTAATTAGATGTTTCTTATTAAAATTTGTCAATAAATCAATGTTAGAATCAATTGTTTCTTCTTTATCATTATATTGATGTTCTTATTTTTTATAAATTTGTTCGCAGAATTCTTCAAATCCTCTAAATGTCGTTTTTTTTTATTAAAAATTCCAGAAAATCTACAGAAAATGGTTTTGAACATTGAGACGTTACTGAAACCAGTAACTGAATGAGATTACTTATTTCCGATGATAAAAGTTAATTTCTTGTTGCTCAACCTTTTCCTAAAAAGCTAATTAGTTTACTGTAGATTTGTTGCATTTTCATAGTCGTTATTAAATAATTTTAATGAAACCGATGAAACCGATCCCTCCTAAAGTGACAATCTATGAGGATTTTAAAGATTGCATTTGCATTTGCAAACCAAATATGCACCGTAAACACGTCTGATGGGTCTCAAATGAATCCAAAAAAATTCTCAATAATACTGCATTCTCAGTTTAACTGCATACATTGCCGGTCCCTCGATTTAAATATATTTACAAATGTGTACGTGCATTGTATATCTATAAAATATCACTGAATCCTTATTCATCTATGAATCCTTTATTAATTGATAATATCCATTTATATTCAAAATATACATTTTGCCTCTCTGTCTGTTTGTATCCTAAAACGACTGAACCGATTGGTCCCACATTTGTGGTTGCAATTCACATAACCACAGGGAAAGTCCGTGTTTAAAATTGAAGAATATTGTTCAGACAAATAAATTTATAATCTTTAAACATGTTTACAGATAAATTCGCGAAAATTGGTTTTAATTGGAGAACAAAGATAAAATGGTGAATTAAAAGAATGTTAGAAAAGCCGTAAAATATTGTATGATTCTTAGGAGTTTGTGCCCCTCTCCCCTCTAAAAATACCCAGGGAGAGTGCCCCCCCCCCCTCGTCCTCTCTTATCAAAAATAACCATCTACGGACCTCCATTAACGCTAAACAGCTCTAATACTAATAGGAATATATTTATCTCAAAGAATTAATCTGTACCGAACCCTTTTTTGCAGTACCCCGCCCCCTGCCTCCCTATTTCCTCTTATCCACGTCTCATCCTGAACGTGTCTAAACTAATTGATAATTGTTTAATTTAAAAGCGAATTGAACTATGATGGGTTACAAGGTCAAACCTGTACAATAAGGGGGTTTTAGGGTCACAATACAGGTTGTAGGGGTCATACCAGGGGTTTTAGGGGCGTGGGTTATCCATACTAGGCGTTTTAAAGAATTGTTCTTCATGTAAAGTTTGGGTTAAAAATATGATTTGTAGATAGATTAGAAAGAACAGATAGATGGATAAGACTGATCAGATGGATTAAACAGATTAGATGGATTAGATAGATAAGATAGATTAGATAGATTAAATATATTAGATAGATTAGAGAGATTAGATAGATTTAATAGATTAGATAAATTAGATAGATTAAAAGGATTAGATAGATTAGAGAGATTAGATAGATTTAATAGATTAGATAAATTAGATAGATTAAAAGGATTAGATAGATTAGATAGATTATATAGATTAGATAGATTAGATAGATCAGATAGATTAGATAGATTAGATAGATTAGATAAATTAGAAAAATTAGATAGATTAGATAGAAGAACTATTTAGAATATTAATGAACTAAAGCCCCCCCCCTTCCTAGTACCCCCTCGAGATTAGGGAATACCCAAGCTTTTAAATGTCAAGGATGAAAGTAAGGATGGATAAGAAGAAGAAGAGGATACAATATTTCTTCCTTGATGTATAGTCCAGTCTACTGTCTAGTCCAGTCTAGTGTCTAGCCCAGTCTACTGTCTAGTCCAGTCTACTGTCTAGTCCAGTCTACTGTCTAGTCCAGTCTACTGTCTAGTCCAGTCTACTGTCTAGTCCAGTCTACTGTCTAGTCCAGTCTACTGTCTAGTCCAGTCTACTGTCTAGTTCAGTCTACTGTCGTGTCCAATTTACTGCATAGTCCAGTCTACTGTATAGTCCAGTTTACTGTATAGTCCAGTCTACTGTACCGTCCAGTCTACTGTATAGTCCAGTCTACTGTATAGTCCAGTCTACTGTATAGTCCAGTCTACTTTATAGTCCAGTCTATGTCTAGTATAAGTGAAAGTGCTAGGACTGGTCAAAGTTCTAATAATTATGGAAAATTCTGTCAAGGCAGAATGTGGAGCCTAACAAAACACCGTAATAAACAAATATTTTTAAAAAAAGAATTTGCGAAATTGCTTGTTAAATTATTTGTTAATACGAACTGTTACTAAATGGGCCAAAGTTTGCTTATTTAAACATTGTTAACGCACGGATTGTGCCCAACCCTAATGTACACTCAGACTACGTGGAATACGACCATGTGCAGCTGATTATATTGAACAAAATGGCCGATAAAAGATAACAACGCAACATATACACGAAGATTACCCGTGTGCTTCGCCAATTTACTTCAAGGATTTTTAGCTTTAACGCAGAACACATGCTAAACTTAACTAGTAAGGAAGAACTTGCACTGCGCAGAACTCATTCTGAGGAATAATACTATTAGAACTTCCACGTCAAACCTATAAAAATAAAAACAAGTTCTTATAATCTTCTTCAATATGATTACGAAAACAATCTTAGGTTAGGTCAAAATCGGGCCGGTCTTAATGGTTAGTCAATAAAATTCACATCTATGTAGATTTTTATGATATAATAATTGAGTAAATTTCTTTCATACATAAACATTTAGAAAGGAAAAACACTTAACTAATTCAATATATATTTATTAAGTTGATCGCTGTTTTCCTGGCTGTTGGACCTAGAGACACAGACGCGGGATGTTTAGGAGCAGGAACAGGAGCAGGATCATGCCCAGCAGCTCCATTCAGGTAACAGTCAGAGCAGGAGGTTTAGGAACAGGAGCAGGATCAATCCCAGCAGCTCCTTTTAGGAAATAGTAGGAGCAGGAGGTTTTGGAACAGGAGCAGAATTACATCTATAGCTGTTTCTATCACGGAATAGTTGCTAAGCTATTTTTCAGCTGTTCCTTTCGGGTGTTAGTGGGAGCAGGAAACCAAATAAATCTGTATAGCTACTTTGGACGAATTTAAACCAATTCTTTGTTGTTCAAATTATTCTTTGTCGTTGAAATACTTCTTGCTATTTTTTAAATTTGATTTCAAGATGTTTAATAAAACAAAACATTCGGCATGATCTGTGTATTTCAAACTTATCTGTTACCATAGCAGCCTGATGTAATTAAAAGTAGAGACATGAATCGTTATTTGTGGAAGGCTTCACGAAAATTTGAGATGTATATCACGTTTCAAAATAGTATCTAGGTACTATGGAGTCTGTGATGTTTAAAGACTAACTAAAGTCCCCATAAGTCCAACAAGTTGGTTTGGTCCGATTTCAAAAGTCCTTTTTCAATATTTCCAAAGTCCAAAAGAGCATATATTTTAGTGGTACTCCAAAATATTAATTTTAGCCAAAATTATGAAGTATGTTTTAGCATTGTACGAAGTAAACTGCAAAATACCATATTCGCACATCATTAAACCTAAATATTTTCAGTCAAGAAATGCAATTTATTAATCTTTCGTATTGTTACTCAAGCGTTTTTGTGTTCACCATAAAAAATGATAAAGGCCGTACAAATTGTTGACATTTTAGGAATTCTTTAAATAATGTTTAATTTGTATCCTGCATTCTTATGTGCAAAATGTTATTCTTTGGTTCGGGTATTTTTACAAGAAAACCCTCTCCAGTTGTTTATAATATGGGAAAAAAAGTAAATTGCAAAGAATTCGCAAAAATACTACTGTTATTGCATTTAATGCTATTGTTTTTGTTCACAAAAATATTACTAATTTTTCTATTTGCAAAACATTACTAATAATTTTATTTACTGCCTTTTTTTTTGTTTCAATAAATATTTCTAATTATTCTATTTTCTTCTTTTTTTGTTCACAAAAATATTACTAATTATTTTATGGACTACTATTCTTTTTGTTAACAAAAATAAGAATTTTTCTCCTTATCTCTCTTATTGGAAATTAAGAGAAAAAAATTCGTCAAGAATGGATTTTAGTGGATTTACAACCAGGAAAAGATTCAAGTTTTTTTATTAAATAAAATTAAGCAATTGATATCAAAGCTTAAGTAATCCGAAATTTACATTGTTCTAAAATAGCATTTCAGAAAAATGAGTTAGTTGTGTGTTTTGAAAAAAAGCAAATTTTAAGCTATATTTAATCTAACATACACTGTGTAGTATGCACAAACAATTTTTACATGTAGTTCTTATGCATAGATGCACTGTAGTGTGCACTTTGCATTGTTTACTAGGCGTTAATAAAAGCTTTCCAAGGACAAAGTTACTGAGACAAGACAAAAATACTGCCTGAATTCAATAAGCTCAAACTCAGGCAGCAAATTCAAAGTTCTTCAGGCATCAAATTTAATTTCTAAAAATAGGGAATTGAATCTACAGCAAACTTTTATCTAAAGGGAAAATGTAAAGTTTGTGATCAAAATATATAAGTCTGATATGGATCCGAAGAAGTTTTCTATTGGAGTCGGACAACATAAAGAAAGGATCTAATCTATTCTTTTGCTTTCAAAACAGTGCTGATTTTTTTACGTAATTATTGAACATTATATTTTCAATTTTAATTTTTGCTGAACCATCCTGCATTATTATTTTGTATTTTGTGTTTGATAATAAATATTAAAACTGTAACAATATGTCCTTAAAAAAAGTGCAATCTCGGATTTTCTAATCGCTTTATCTTTTCAACCTGATGTCGTTGACATTAGAAATTTCAAACTATAGATTCTTTACAATTACATACTCTAAGTTTAAAATATCAAAGGTTTGCACCATCAGGTTGCAAAGATATATGGTAAAGCAAATTAGATATTAGTAAACATTTCCATTCTTTCCTCAAATCAAAAGTAAATATAAAAAAAAACTTTTTTACAAGTATTTCTATACCGTTTTGGCGAATAAATTTTGTAGAAGAGATCTTGTTAAAAAACACAAAAATGCATATATGCTTGCTACTTGGATATATGCATATATGCTTGCTACTTGGATGTCATTTATAAGGCTTAGAAGGAATATTGCAAATAGTTTGCACAGTTTTGAATGTTAAAAGAAATGTCGGAATTATTTTAGCATTTTTTATTTAAAAAATAAAACTATCATGATATTTGCATTTATATTGAAAAGTTGAAAAATGGTGAATGACACGAGAATCTACATATATTCTCATGAATCAGAATATTTTTATTGGTTACATCATTTATTTATGTATTTATATCAAAACCACAAATTGACGATAAATACGTATTTGCGACAATAATTATTTGCAAATTGTTTCAATCAATTAATCAACTCGTGTTAAGGGCGGATGCCGCGGATATTGATCACAAGAGCGGATGTCCACAGTGGTCTGAATGTTGCACAGAATACGGGTATTGTCATCCCAAGGTGAGTTTTGTCCCCGAAATATATCAGTGTGATTGATCTCACTATTGAAAACATTTTCTCTATGACTATAAAATAATAGATAATTCTGAAAATAATTCTGAAAATAATTGATATTAAAATCTCTTGAAATTATATTTTAATCATTCTAAAATTTCATCGAATTCCATGTACAGAGTGTCCCGATAAACATGGGAATTGAGAGACGACTTGAATATCGTCTTTGATTTCCGATAATTGATAAATCACCTTCAGTGCATAAAAAAAAGATTTAATGTCTATACAAATAATTATAAATTTACAATTCAACGTGTGAAAAATTATAAAAATACTATTGCATGCTTTCCAAAATGTGGTCTACCTTCTTTGTATCTTAAAAATTGACGGAGATACACATTTGAACAGTTTTATTGATTTTTTATAAACTGGAATCAGGAAAAACTTCCTGATATCTCCTTGAATGAAAGTAAAAAAATGGTAGACCACATTTTGGAAATCCAGAGACTACTAGTTTTCGGTTTTAAATGTTTTAGCTGTGATACTACAAACTGATATTTACATATTTACAAATAATGCCGCTTGGAACAAAGACGATACAGAAGTCGTCATTTAATTCCCATATTTATTGGGACACCCTGCATTTAATGAGAATTTGTTTAGTTTCTCTCTTAATTGACATTCTTATACAGTGAGAACCAGAAAACTATGGAATAAGACAACTTTTGGACTAAATTTTAGATTTAAATTTTCTAATGTACACAACAATTGAACAAATTATTTTTCATTTTAAGCCATAACTGTCGAACTATTTTACTCACATCAACATCATTAAATACACTAAATATTGCTTTAATGTCGATTGAAAGCCTTAGATGTACTGTACTTAGATGTAAACTGTTATAAAAGAACCCAACATTTTGGTCTTGATATCGAGTTTAACGAAAGCATTTCGATCTAACGAACTTTTTTTACGAAATTACTAACAGAATACGATTAATGAGATGTCCTTTACAGTACTTTCATAACTTCCTATCAATATGTTCGGAATTTAGAAACAAATTTACAGAAAAAAAATTATAAGATTTCTTTTCATGTTTCCCGAAAAGCAACATAATTTTGACCGGAACTAGGAGAGGGGGTGGGAGGGTGAGGGGGGGGGTTAATAAAGTACATGATGAGAATATTGCGGTTTTATTCAATGCTTGAATAAATCCTCAAGATTATTTTATTTTTATTGCAATAAATTATAAAAGTTATTTATACACTGGGAATTGCTGTAAATTTCAGTAATTGTATATAATCATGCATAATTAGTATTTAGGCTATTTATCATGATAATATTTAGATAAACATTTAAATAAAATATTCAAAAATCGCAAAGTTATTAGCATCTGAAACTATTTATTTATATTTTGTTGTATATTACATGTATTATGAATATACTATGCATTAAATAGTTTCAATTATTTTTTTTTTCAATTCAATAACAATATGTAAAAGGATTCACAAGTTATGATCAGACAAACAAATACCACGACATTAATTACTGCTGCATATGTATAGTATTTATCAGGATCGGGAAAATATTTAAATGATGTTTGGAAAAAATTAAAAGTAATGGAAAAAAGAAAAAATTGGGTTAATAATATGTCCAACTTTATTTAAAAGTTAGGATCCCAAAGGTTAAAAGGAACTATGACTATCTTCATGATAATTTTATAATCATTATTTATTTTCAACCTTAAAAACCTTTAAATATTTTAAAATCTGAAGTCAGAAATATCAAGGGTTCACACCGTCAGGTTTCAAAAATATACATTTTAGAAATTATGAGCTAACTACCAAAGATTAAAAGTTAAAAATAAAAAAATAAAAAAAATAATAAAAAAATAAATAAAAATAACTAATCCTACTTTGACCCAAAGGTTTAAATTTGAATTAAAGATTGCACGACTATTGGCCTAAGCTTGATGATTGCCTGAATGGTTTTGTTTCCGGGATGTTCTAAAGTTAACTGCCTGACTGCCTGGTAACTGCCTAGCTAGACAGTAATTATGTCATAGAGATGACACAGCAGGCAGTATTATTACAATCATTGATACATACGGTACTTTTATTACAGATTCTACAGAGCAGACAACAGATTTAATTTTAAGCTTGTAAAATATCGGTTTTTAAATATGAGGGTACCCATTACTGATGAAACTTCTTTGTAATTGTAGCTTCTCTTGAAGCAGGCACAATAAGAAAATTTCCCGAATTTAATTATTTTAAAAGATAGAAAAACGATGATATCTTCCTCACCCTTAAAAGATTTTTCTGCTCAAGTATAAATTAGATATCAATGTTTGTAATTTTGAAATATGATTATTTTTAATTGTGGTTTCTCTACAGAAGTGATATGCTTGTTTTTACTGAAGGGAAACTTTAAAGCTATAGACAAACAACGATATCTTTCACATTATTTTATAAAAGAAAATATTTTTAAATTGTATTACTATTAATTATTTTATTATTTTATTTTATTTTCAAAGCTAAACATGTTTGTAAATTAACACGTTTCACTGTTATTCTATCCTATTATAAAGCTTGGTAACTAACCACCATTACCCTAGGATGATCATTTTAGGTATTTTATCCGATAGTTCAAAGATGGTTTTTTGGGGAGGATTTTTCTTGCCTGATTCATTGGATCCAAAATAGAACTGGGATGTATATGTATTAGTAGTAGTAACCCGTCCACAGGCTGATGATGAAGAAATCTTCTATGGCCAACTACGAAAGTAGAACATATTCATTTAAATTTATCAGACAAAGATTGAAATTTGGTACCATTGTGAATTGGGTATTGTTATCTTTGCATGGAGGGTCATTTAAAATGAAACGTGCAGTTCTTCAAAATCAAAGTTCATTTCATTTACGACTTAAGTATTTAAAATACATTTATTTTGATAATTTATGTCGCCACTTTAATTTTAGAGAACATCCTGTCACTCATATTTAACACCTCAAATTGAAAAAAAAATCAATTGAAAGTTTGTATTACTATTAAAGCAGAATGCATATTTAAAAAATCTCATATTTCACATACAAGATCAGGTTGCAAAGGCATAGGGAGGGGATATAACAAATTAGAGTTTAAGCGAGTAATCATATATTGATCTTGATTTATAGCATGGACCTACATTTTTTTTAATTGTTTGAAAATGCTGTTTACGAAAAAATATAAAGATATAATTTTCTTCTTTATATAAACCACTGTATTTTAATATTTTAAATTAAAGAAGCTAAATTAGAAATTGATCTTTAAAATTTGTTTAATGTTGTGAGAATTAAAAGGTTGTTAAACTGCAAGTTATACAACTGAATTTTATTTGATAAAAGTCAGATAGTTTAAAATCTTCATGATTTATTAATCTTTTGTACAACTCAGAAATTCTCTGAAAAACTGTGGAAACCAAAAACCGTGTAGCTTGAATATAAAAAAAACAAAAAAATCTGTGTACTTTGGCCATTCTTACACTATTTTCATTAAATCTTGGGAAGGCACATTTTAACTTCAAATTTATTCTATAAATTGTGAGGTTTTCTAGATTTTAGACTTTATTTGAATAAATCCCTCTATTAGATCCTAAAATCCTTCTATTAATCTCTTTCTCAACAAAAAAAAATAACTAGAAAAAAAAGTTTCTGGAACTTTAGCTGAAACAATTGGGTTACTGCAGACACTGTTGTGAATTGAACATGCATTTTTAAAAATGGATCGTCATGAAAAAAGTTAACAGTTTCTTTAATGTGACAGCAATGCGCAAAAAGAATATTGTACAGAAAAAAAACCAGAAAACTCTGAAATAGGAAGACGACTTTACTGCAATACTAAAGTGTATTTGATGGTGTTAAAATGCAAATCGTTTAAATAGACACTAATTTAGTGAAATGGGTCTGTGTAAGCTGCACAATTGCAGTGTCCCAAGCTTATTGGAGTATTTAAAATCATAAAAGTCTCTTCTATTTCAGAGTTTTCTGGTTATCCAGCTAGGTTATTCCCATTGCGCATTTGAACCTGATTTTTTCCTTCCTCACGAGTCACAACTAAAAAGAATCAACATATTATTTTTCAGTCAAGTTGGGAGGCGGAGTACTTCCGAGACTGCAACGGAGTAAGTAATGGTATTGATCTACCTTTAGAAACTATTCAAGCAGAGGCAATCTGTTCTGGGGAGGTTCTACCAGAGGAAGAAGCAGAAGACGCAGCAGCATTACCTGCATATGAGGAGCCTCTGCCCCCTCCACCACCCAGGCAAGGCCCTGTTGGAGGCGTAGGAGGCGTTGGAGGAACTGGATGGGCTGGACCTGATCACAACCCAGCTTGGGACGGTCCTAGTGGAGGTGGAGGTGGTAATGGAGATGGCAGTGGAAATGGTGGTGGAAACGGAAATGGCAGAGGTGGAAGAACAGGCCCTGTTGGAGGTGTAGGCGGTGTTGGAGGAACAGGATGGGCTGGACCTGATCACAACCCAGCTTGGGACGGTCCTAGTGGAGGTGGAGGTGGCAATGGAGGAGGAAACGGAAATGGTGGAGGTAACGGAAATGGCAGGGATGGAAGAACAGGCCCTGTTGGAGGTGTAGGAGGTGTTGGAGGAACTGGATGGGCTGGACCGAATCACAACCCAGCTTGGGACGGTCCTAGTGGAGGTGGAGGTGGTAATGGAGGAGGAAATGGAAATGTTGGTGGAAGCGGGAATGGAAGAGGTGGAAGAACAGGCCCTGTTGGAGGAGTAGGAGGCGTTGGAGGAGCTGGATGGGCTGGACCTGATCACAACTCTGCTTGGGATGGACCCAGTGGTGATGGAGGTGGTAATGGAGAAGGAAATGGAAATGGAGGAGGAAATGACAAAGGAAGAGGAGGAAAAAATGGTCCTGTAGGAGGTGTTGGAGGAGTTGGTGGCATAGGAGGAACAGGTTGGGCTGGACCTAATTATAATCCGGCCTGGGATGGACCCAATGGAGGTGTAGGGAGGAATGGTGGAGGAAATGGTAATGGTGCTGGAAATGGAAGTGCTAGAGAAGGAAGAACTGGACCTACTGGAGATGTCGGAGGTGTCGGAGGTGTTGGAGGTGATGGACCAGATCATAATCCAGCTTGGGATGGCCCAAGTGGAGGAAATGGAGGAAACGGAAAAGGAGGAAAAAACGGTAACGGAGGACGTTCTGGAAAGTCTGGCTCTCTTGGAGGAGAAGGTGGAGTTGGAAAAGTTGGAGGAGTTGGTGGTGTTGGAGGAGTCGGAGGCTTTGGAGGTGTTGGAGGAGTCGGAGGCGTTGGAGGAGTTGGGCCTGATGGACCCGGTCATAATTCTGCTTGGGACGGACCAAATGGTCAAAACAGCTCGGGAGGATCAACTCTAGCTAAATCTGGAAATAAATCTTTTAGGCAAGGAAAGAAATCCGCAAGTTTGGTAAAAGCGCCCCAGGAAGGAAAAACCGGTTCCGCGGTTTGGACCGTAGAGCAGTGGCTCAAGAGAGGATGATTTACATTATTAATTATAAATTGTTATTTACCTCTACTTGTTTCATATTTTATTTAAAATGGCATTAATTATGCAATGAAGGGCATTCTATAAAAGTATGGTTCCTACATAAGTAGTTTTTATACATTAGTATTTTTAAAATGAACAAAACTCTCTCTATGAGGAAATTTGCAATGGTATACAATTTTGTAAACATTCTAATATTATCTATCAATAAAAGTGTTATTTATTTTATTATGTTATTTATTGATTATTATCAATCATCATTTCTAAAGAGGCAATGTCTTGGGTTTCCTGAATTCCCTGTAATCATTGTTTTTTATACACATTTTTGTAGAGTATTGATAGTCTTGAACTCTTGATCTCGATATCCATACATAGATTCAAAATCTCCTGCTTTTTAGAGATGAAATTATGGCTGGACAACGTCATGTAATCGAAAGGCAAGTTTTGAAAACTAACCAGTAAGAACTGTTAATAAAAATATCAACGAACATTATAAATTAAAATAACAGCAACTTTTTTATTTTTTTTTCTGCTTAAAATTGTATGAAACTCACAAAAAAGTGCATTTTTTGATTTAGATTTAGTGTTTTAAATTTTGATGTTTTTAATGTTATTTCCTAATTCCCCCCCCCCCCCTAGTTTTGCATAAAGCTATCGTTAACGGCTTGTGCCAGATTTATATAACACCTTCCGTTAACGTTGTTAGCAAGATTGAGATCGTTTAGGAACGGCAACTTTAAAAAGTACAGAAAATACCGTTGAACGTTGAGTTCCTAGCTAAGATCAAACAAGGAACGGATATCTATAAAGTGGGTCTTTTGGACGATTTCGGTTGGAAAAAATCCTGAGATTGCCCAGCCTTACCTCTGGCTGTACTGAACAGATAATATATATATATAATCAAATAGATTAATTATCAAGTACAATAGGTGGCAACAGAGAAATGGACCCATTATACACGACGTCACAAGTGTCAAATATAACAAGGAAAATGAAAACTTCTCACATTAGTTGACATGTTTTCCAAGAATAAATAAAAAAGTGTAAAAACAGAAAATAAATAACACATAAAATTGCACATATTTTACTGTAAGATAAGCACTTCATTCTAAAATTATCACTATTTTCAATAATTTTGCCGTACACAAAAACTAAGGTGACACTTATGACGTCAGAATACAGCTGTACTGAGAATATACAAATTCTACATTGCCATCTATTGTACTAGAATCTATTTGTACATGCTAAAGATCTTCGCTCATGCAAATATATTTGTAAGTATATGTTAGCTATTGCTGGCAAAACAGCTAAACCAAATTTGATGAAATGTTTTAAGGAAACTCATGGGCAGCCAAGGCGTAACATAGGCAAAAAGTATTTGATTTTTGAAAAATCAAATTTATTTCTTTCAAATTTGAACTTTTTTCAATTCCATGGGCAACGCCGGGTATTTCAGCTAGTCTATGTAATAAAGCTCTTCGCTCATATAACATATATGTCAGCTATAGCTGGCCAAACGGCTGGACCGAATAGGCTGACATTTTTTTAGGAACTTTTGGTAACCCCGGGGGTAACTTAGTCTATTAAAAATCTAACTTTTTTATTTTCAAAAATAGATTTCTTTTTCTTCAAAAATCCACGGGCAACGCAGGCCAATTCAGCTAGTCGTTAATCTAGAAGGAGATCCATTTAAATAACAAAGAAAAAAAGGTGACTTCATTAAATTAATAAATTTATATAAACATTGAGACTGTAAGTGAGTGTGTTGTTAGTTAGAGTTATATTGAGTGAGTGACTAAGTAACTCTAAGTGAGTGAGTGGGTGGGTCGGCGACTGAGTGAGGAAATGATGTTATATCGAACCCTTCAGTTGATTTATTTTCAGTCACATTTCTAGATAGATAGATAGATAGATAGATAGATAGATAGATAGATAGATAGATAGATAGATAGATAGATAGATAGATAGATAGAATATATGATAAACGGTTTAGATAAAGAAACCCGTTTTAGTTTGATCTATACTATCTATATATATATATATATATATATATATATATAAATATATATACCGATGATATAGAGATATAATTTCAGTTATAATTTCACGTTCAATCAGATACGCAATCATTTGTTACAAAGAAAATAAGGATGTGATGTGCATTCGGTTGGTTAGTTTTAAGATTTTTTTTTGCCTTTTTTCTTTCAGGGTCTAAATTCGACAAGTTTAAGAAAAAGATTGTATTTCAAATTGTTGATTCTAAATGTGCGTGTCTTGCATTCTACCAAATTTTGAACCTGACAGAGAACATGGGCAAAAACGCAACAAAAAAGAACATGTTATAACTATCGTTTTTCAATATCTGGATGAACACATTGGAAAGTTTATAAAAGCAAACTTAATTTATGACGGTTTTAAAATTTTGGAAGTTTTATTTAAAGTTTTCTAAGAACGATTTATTACGAGTAAAAAAAAAAAAAAAAATCAGCTGAATTTAACGAATACTGCACAGTTAACGAACGAAAATAAATTAGAACAAACCAAAAAAATCGATGAACAATTGAATTTAAAAAAATCCTTCTTTAACCATTGTGAACTAAACGAGACAAAATTAATTTGGTACAAAATTAGCTGGAAAAATTGCACTTGATATTTTTAATATTTTTGAAAAATATTGAGAAAATTGGGATCAATGGTGATTATTTGTTTAAATCATTCTAATTTAATAAAAAATCGTGTTTACCAAAATGCAACCCAAATTTTTTTTAACTAAAGTTTTAAGATTGCCTTTTTCTACTTCATTTAACCCTACCCTGGGCGGGATATTTTCTTTTAAGCCTACCCTGGGCGGGATATTTTCATTTAACCCTACCCTGGCCGGGATATTTTCTTTTAACCCTACCCTGGGCGGGATATTTTCTTTTAACCCTATCCTGGGCGGGATATTTTCATTTAACCCTACCCTGGGAAGGGATATTTTCATTTAACCCTACCCTGGGCGGGATATTTTCATTTGACCCTACCCTGGGCGGGATATTTTCATTTAACCCTACCCTGGGCGGGATATTTTCGGTCTATTAGGCCAAGGGATTGATTTAATGTNCCCACGTTAAATCATATATTACAATTACACATTTTAAAACATGTGCACTGTGCAGTGTGTCGTCCGCGTGCACCTCGTTAGAATTTTTCAGAATCAAATACTCTCTCAAATTTAAAATTTCTATTTGTGAAATTTATTCTGTTTTACTATTATTACTGTAAAGAGCAAGTTTACAAAATTCCATCCTTCTTATTTTTGATTCGGATTCAGTTCATGGATATTTCTAAATGTCTTCCTATTTTCTAAATTATTATCTTTTACTATATTTTAGGAGAGACTAAATATTGTACACTGATTTAACAGTTCGGTCCTTGTCGACACAGCAAGCTGTCACTTTCGATCCCAATTAGATTATTTAAACAAAGATTGTTTTTGTTTTGTTTTTTAAAATTTTTTGTATGCAGTTGCATTTTAAATAGTAGAAAAAGACCAAAACGCGATTACAAAGGAATTGAACCACTGGCACAAATTCAGATTCTTTACAACCCAATGTCGTAGACCTCTGATATTTAAAATTAAGAATTCTGTTAGATCAAATGATCTAAGTTTATAATATCAGATGTTGACGCTATCAGGTTGCAAAAATATAATGATTATATCTGAGTGTACAGTATTCAACAACTAACCATGTTCGGAAAATTAGGGTTTCTTCTTCTTTTACCGTTAATTAAAATTTTTCCTATCGGAAAATATCGGAAAAGGCCAAAATGCGATTCAACCGTTAGAAAACCATCAAACTGTGTTTTGTCGCATGCTTTAAATACAGTACCCTTAAAATTCTAGAATCCATTTGTATGAGTGAGATAAAGCCTACTATGTACGTATTAAATAGTTATACTACTGTCACGGGCAGCCGTAGTACATTTGAATTTCCGAGCCGGGTAAACCTCTCCGGTCCCAGTTTGTACTGTACCTAGCTCTATGGAAAGGACTAGCCGTTGCAACAAGGTTGACGCGGTCAGACTTTATGCTTCATATAGGTTGAATTTACTTTTACTAAAGGGAAAGATTTCTGTGGCTGTTTCTATTTTTTCTGACTGTTTCGTAATTTTAAAAAGATGAACAGAAATTTACTTTTGGACAGCATTCCCTTTAAGAAACAAATGAATCTTCATATTCTTTTGAAATCCTTTAATATCAAAATATCAAAAATCTAAATCCGTGATATTTAAAAATTTAATTAGCTACGGAATATTTTAGTTTTACATTAAAAATGTTTAAAAGAGCAATTTCCACTGCACACTACCCACGTAGTTTTTTACTAACAGATTTGTATAGAAAGTTTTAAAAAAAGAGTTAATCATACATTACATAAATTGTATCCGTCGAATAAAAAATTCAAGTTTTATATATTTTCATATTTCAAAAAAAAGGAAAAAGCTGTTCAAGAAATTTTAATAATTCTGATGAGATTACAAATTTAATATTGATTAATTTGATTTCAGACAAAATGGTCGCTATTTATCTGATGTTATTATTTGGTTTTGTGGCGGGAAAACAATGTAAAGACGACCCCGCATTTTCATGTAAAATATCCACAATATTAAACCATTCTTACACGTTGTTTAATGTAGCAAAAATTGTTAGGAAAATTTTAATCACTTGGTTTTTAAATCCAAGTTTTTTTTGATAAAACTGTTTCAGAATAATATAAATAAAACAAATCAAATGGAATAAAAGTTGTTTTGCCCCTCTCTATGGGAGAGAAGGGGAGCAAGTTAATGTGTATTTTACTTAACCATGAAAAAACTAACCTTACCAACAGGATATTTTGGGAGCAATTTTTTTTATTTTGGGGCTTTAATTAAGTTTGTGGCAAATTTGCGTATAGGAAATCTTTATCTTTATTTTGATGGCAATTTTTTAAATATTTAAAAAAATGTTTAACCTTTAAGGGTTTTTTTCTAGTTGGATGCAATTTTTTTTATGTTGGGGGGCAAACAAATATAAAATGTACTATCTATAAAATGTCCTATTTATGAAATGTCCTATCAATGAAATATCCTATCAATGAAATGTCCTATCTATGAAATGTCATAACTATGAAATGTCCTATCTATGAAATGTCATAACTATGAAATGTCCTATCTATGAAATGTCCTATCTATGAAATGTTCTAAGTATGAAATGTCCTATCTATATCTTTGAAATGTCATAATTATGAAATGTCCTATCTATGAAATGTCCTATCTATGAAATGTCCTATCTATGAAATGACCTATCTATGTCCTATCTATGAAATGTCCTATATATGAAATGTCCTATCTATGAAATGTCCTATCTATGAAATGTCATATCTATGAAATGTCCTATCTAGGTGATGATACACAGACGTGCTGTTTACTACCTGCAGGACAGGGAATAGGTTGCTGTCCTTATAGGTTAGTGTTGGGAAGGGTTGACGCGTTTCGTTAACGGTATTTTAAAAGTGTTAAAAAAATGTCAGGTTAACGTTTTAGATTTAGCTAAGGATGGAACGATTGTTTCCTTAACGGTAATTTCCGTTATTTTTAAAGCTCCTGATCTCAATATTTTTTACGGTGACAGTCGTTAAAGATTATTTAATATAAAAATAGATGGAAAAAGTTTGAAAACAAGGTCAAAAAACATCAAAATACATTAAACAATTTAATTTAACGCACGAAGGGTGGATAAGAAGACCGCATCAAACTTTTTTTTCTCAAAAACGACTATTCTGCTAGTTTGCATTTTAGAAATTAACGGCTTTTTCCGTTCGTTAACGGACGATCTTCCGTAAATTTTCCAAAATTTCCGTTTCGTTAATGGAACTTTGCCCAGTCCTAGTGTTGGACATAGTTTAATATTCAAATTGGTTTGTTGGTTAAAGGGACTATTCATTTAATTTCAAGTGGCTTAAAATTTTTACGGTGCCGTTTAACTCTTATGCTAATAAATTTAGTGGAAGATATTGTTTTTTGTTAGCTTGAAAACTGTTTTTTTTCTAACAATTTTATCTCGTTGTTATTTCAACAATCTTTTTAGAGACCGCGATTAAAATTTTAAATCTGCTATGGATTTCTTGTCTGTTATGTAAATAAAGTAATTGTTCTCATACACGTGTATCAAATAATGTAAGAATTGGAAGCAATAATGTCCAACACATTTGTACTTCTATACTAACACTTAATTATGAAGTGTATAAAACGAATATATATTCACTAGCTGAAGGGCCCAGCGTTGCCCGTGGAAAAAAGTGAAAGAAATTTTGAAAAAAAAATTTAGATTTTTTTAGCCTATAACACTTCCCGGCCACCCATGAGTGTCCACAAAAAATTCAGACCAATCGGTCCACTGCAGCCGTTTGGCCGGCTATACGCAACATATATATATATATACGAATGTCTTGTTTTATTATATAGATTAATTGTGGAGCCTACCAAAAGCACAACATATCTTTCATGTACTTGAAAACAGATTCTCAATTGTCTTTTTCCAGGAACGCTGTTTGTTGTCAAGACAGATTACACTGTTGTCCCGAAGGTCTGTATGCTTAATGTATTTTGTGATGTAAACATTCTAAGGGATTGCTCAGATACAGGGTAAACCTTAAAGGATTGTACCGAATTTAAATCTTCTATTGCCTTTTATTCATGATCCATGAAACTGTTAACTTTTTTTGCCTAATAATTGAATAAGCCATGAAAAGACAGAAGACCTCGAAATTGTCAGATTTAAAGAGTTTCAGGTCGTCTTTACTGTCTCATCCTTTATGGGTAACCCTGCATGTTTTATAAAGGGTGTAAAAAAAAATAAACGAAGTAACGACGTAAATATTGTTTTTTTTTAACTATTCCAGTTAAAACACTTAGTTAATAGTCAAGTATCATATTTTTGGGATTTCCAAAATGCAGTCTGTTATTTTGTGCTGAAAGAATTGTCTAGATTTGTAATTCTTGAATAAATGTCTAATCTATGTCTATTTTGAATTGAAATAAAGCTTCATCCATTAAAGCGTACTTTCAATTTAGATTTATTTAAAGTATAATAAATGGTTTAATTGGCTACCATACTAAAGTGATTAGCTTTCAGCCTATACCCCCTTTCATTTTTCCTTTACTGTCCCTTTAAAATACATTTATTGCTTTTAGATATATTAGAAATAAAGAGTCTAGAAAGTAGAGGTAGTTGAGTAGGTCTTTAATATACTATTGTTTCAGAAATCGAAACTTCTAAATTGCGGATTTTTTAATACACTTTTCGGGAATTTTCATTCCTTAAAACCTTTAAATTGTTTTACTTGTGAAGGTCTTGAGTGTGATATTAAAGCAGGGCGATGTGTTGGAAACAGTTATAAACTACTCTTACAAAAATTAGGTAAAATCGTGTCATTTTATAAAAAAATTAATTTTCTAAAAATCCAACATTTCCTACAAGCTTTATAATTCCGATTATCAAACAATAGATGGAGCAATTACAAATCCTAATACTCCCAAGACAAAGCTGACAATTAGAAAACCTCAAAAGTCGTCTTCCTCTTTTCTCTCCGTTTTAGCAAACAGAAAGGTATATCTGCATTTCTAAATGTAATCAATAATATAAATGTATTTAACACAATACTGATAAAATAGTTAACTTGTTTAGAGCTGCCCAGATAAAAGCTACAGTTGCGAAGTAACACAAACATGCTGTCCTCTTGATCTGGTCAGTATTATTATATTTGTTATTATTTTGTTCAATGATTCATTATTTTTATTAACATCATCATCATTATATAAATTTTTTTCTTTTTAATTAATTAAAAATTAGTTTTCCAACTTTTGAACAAAATTATGACACTATTGAAGCCCTGATATTTACATTGCAACCAGCTGAAAACAGGAGCAATGTTAAATTGCAACCCTAAAGATGCAATCTAATTAATTGTAAATAATTCTGTCAAGAAGTTGCGGGTTTACAAATCCTAAAACTTGAATTAGATTTTATTTTTAAACTCAAAAATATGCGGTAAAAAACTAAATAGATTTTACAGTTTTTAAAACCTGAAAAAAAGGTAGATTTTGAGAAGAATCAAAATATTATTTTTTGTTAAGAAGTGTAAACATCTCATTTAAATTTGTTTAAAACTCGAAAAAATTACAATTCTCTTCATTCACGTTGGTTCCTAAAACATCACGAGTGTATAGCGATACTTTAGGACCCAACATTCCTAAACTCGCCTCCCTCTTTTTTTCTTGACAGGCAAATAAATAGTTAGAAAGATTGCAAAAACAATGGGAGGTAATTATCAGAATTACTTCAAGAACGACGATATCTTCCACATTTTTCATCAAGTAAAGATTTAAATGATATCGCTAAAGTCTCATCTTTTTTTGAAACCCTTGATGTTAAAAACACACTTTTTTTAGGGATAAAGAGCACTGTTGTCCTGCTGGATCAATTTGTAATGATGGGGCCTGTGTAAAACCAATACCGTTTTAAAAATATTGATCTTTTTGATTGAAATTGATCTTCTAAAATTGAACTTTTAATCTTCTAAAATTGAACTTTTAATCTTCTAAACTTGAACTTCTGATCTACATTAAACTTGAACTTTTGATCTACACTATACTTGAACTTTTGATCTACACTAAACTTGAACTTCTTTAAAAATTTGAAATTATTTCAAACTGAAATAATTCTTTGTAAGAATCTGCATATTACTGCACTGTTTTGTTCAAAATACAGAATTGTCAAAATTATTTAAAATCACCAACATTTATTCCGATATTGTGTTAGAAATCAGCACTCTTTTCATGATTTCTTTGATTCAATATTAATAAAATGTCATTATTTATTCAACATATGAGTTGATAGTTTGATAATGGACAAATCTGAACTATCATTTCAACATTAAAAAGCAAATATAGCTATTTTAAACTTTGAACATTTTTTCCTCTGAAAACCATTCGTTTTTCTTTCAAAATTTAATTGTTTTGTCGATGACGATCATGATTAAACTTTTTATGTTTTATGTACATTTTGGAAAAATAAAGTTGAAAATTTTAATGAAATTAACAATTTATTTGTTGAGTTTACTACAGAGATAGCTTAAAAATAGTAAAAAAAAGTGGGGTTTTTGTTCTTTCTTTTATCATGAATGTAGATTTATCGATTTTATAATTTGGAACTATTCTTTTTCTAAAAGCAGTTCAGTGGAGGGATTCCAACAAGGGTGACTCTTTTTTTTAGTAGAAAATTTTGCATTTTTTCGCGTTTCGTTGGCTAAAGAAAAAAGCGAAAATTTTCGTTTTTTCCGCAAAATTTCGCTTTTATCTGATTCGCGAAAAAATGCGAAAATTTCGCGGATATAGAAATGCGAAAATCTCGCAAAACCCAAATGCTAAAGTTTCTGGGGGAAAAAATGCGAAAATGATTAACTAAGCTTTCATATGGAGTGAGAATTCCACAGTTTTTTTGCACATTAATTTTTGCAGCACTGTTTTCGCATTTTTTCACATAATTCATATTTGCGAAAAAACGCGAAATTTTGCAAAAAAAACATTACAAACAAAAATTTTCGTTCGCTGAAAACCCTAGTTCTGTGAGATGTCAAAATATAAATTTTCTAGTGACATTTTATAACAAAAAGTAACGAAGGCAACAATCATTCTACAATGTTCTTGTTATCACTGTAACCTTGAAAAGGGGAAAATGAACAGAGTGTTTGTCATGATCTCCATGCTGCAAAGAGTTTTAAGACGACGTCAAAATATGTTAAATAAATTTTAAATTCCTATGCAAACTTCAGAATTAAGGGCACTAAGTTAGATTTGCATAAAAATCAGAATGATTAGGACATTATTTTAATGTTTAAGACAACAATTAACAAAAAAAGATGCAAGAAGAGATAAAATAAGAACATGTAAGACGACCTTATAATGCTTAAAACTGCTCGTATTAATGTAAGACAACAAATATCGCGGAATGTGTGAAATAGTTTTGGAGAGCAAAGTGTAAAATAAATAGTCTTAACAGCGAATAGGATAAGACACCATCAGAATCAGACATATATAGATTTATAAAAAAGTCAACATCTTAATACATAACGATAATTAATCATGCAGCAACTGCAAAGCAATATCAAATATTTCATATTTAAATACAGTAATAACCAAAAAGTTGTCGTTTATTGGTCGTGTGAAATTAATCCTTCTTTTTAAACAGTGCCTTGAACATTTTAGAGGTATATAAATCTATATATTAAAACAAGACATTCGTATATATATGTATGTTGCCTTTGCCGACCAAACGTCTGGACCGATTGGGCTGAAATTTTTGTGGACACTCATGGGTGGCCAGGGGTGTTTTAGGCTAAAAAAATCGTTTTTTTTTTAAAACCTTTTTTCTTTTCAAAATGTTTTTCTTTCAATTTTTTTACGGGCAACGCCGGGCCCTTCAGCTAGTTTGTCTACGGCAGCAGATGCAAAAATTAATCCTTCGTATTATTTGTAAAAAAGCACAAAGTCGATATTTATTCCATATTTTCCTTATTCTTTTACTGTAGTCATTAATCATTATTGGTAAGATTTAACAGTTATTTATACCAACATTTTAAATAAAAAAAAACAATCTATATATAAATTTGGCTTGTCTGTCGTTTTGTTTGTCTGTTTGTTTGTATCCAATAAACGTCAAAACGGCTGAACCGAGCGGGCCCAAATTTTTGTGGGACATCTAGGGACCCCAGGGAAGATTTAAGAATGATCAAAATTTTAAATATTTGTCTCCATCAAAATTCGATCTTCATTAAATTTTTTAAAATTTTGAAAATCCACGAAATTTTTTGTGAAAATCCGCGAATTATTTTTGTTTTGTTTTACGATGTACACAAAGAGAACATATATGTTAATGTTCACAAATAATTTAGAAGATGGGCGCGAAGCGCACTCTAAGGCTAGTATAACAAATTTTAATATTAGAATACAAAACAGAAAACTAAGATTAGGATTTATACATGCTGAATTAGAACAAAAAGTCTATAGTCTTTTAAGTACTCATATGTTACCCACAAACTACAGAGGATGAGACTTCAGAGACGACTGCACGGAATCTAAACTGTCTGTTTACTTATATTTATAATTTCCAGCAATTATAAACTATTTTCTTTCTTTAACAAACCATTAAATAAAACTTATCTTATCTTATTTGAAGACCTGTAAGTCGTTCTTACAGTTTCATGCTTTCTGGGCCGGTTACCCTGTATATTGAATTTAAAAAAAAAGGTTTTTTAAAGAAAAAAAATTGTCGTCTAAATAAAATGAAGATTCAATTTGTACGATACAATTATTCCAAACAGGGAATAGCTTGCTCGATGTACGGGGGGGGGCAGCTTGCAATGTACATTAGATGATTGACCTTCAGGTAAAAAAACGGTTACAATGTCATTAACACTGAAAAACATATTTTCTGAGTGTCTAATCTCTAATATCTTATTTTTAACCGGGCTAAACAGATCGGGCCGCTTGCAATGACATCGGGCCGAGAAACGACATCGGGCCGACCCTTGTTTGACCAAGCTGTCACGGGCCGAGTACTTTGTAGAGGTTAGCGGCAGCGTCATTCAACGCACGGAGATAGGAACAGGGTTGGAGTCGAAACTGCACTCATGATCTGCAACTTTGTCGAGCCGGTACCACACTTCTGCAGAAAAGACCGTGCCGGTACACAATGACCTAGTCCTGAAAGACTTGTGATTACGTGACGGTACAATATTTGTACCGGAAAGTGCAGAGAGAGGGAGGAGTCATTAATTTTCAGGATATTTCTCTCTCCGTGGATTGGATTTAGCCGCAGGTTTTAATCCCATGAATCCCATTCGGCATTCCCAAGCAGGAGTTCAGAATATCCGAAAAGTTGTGTGAAGTATGCATACTGAAATAATAACATACAGTTCCTTGTTTTCTTCCCTCTCTTTGCTATATATATAAGTCGGAGCCTATCTTATAAGGGGGTATAGGGGATAAAAAAAATTGCATTGCGGAAGGGAAGTATAAAAATTGGGAGGGGAGAGTGGAGTTTATACATTTTCAGCAGGAAGACAGAACAAAGACAGAGTCTGTCCTGCCCCCAGCACGGTTTGGTCGGAACTGTAGGGAACAATCCAGGCCCTTCCCTCTTATACTGTAACTTGGATTTGTGAGGGATAAAGTGGGAGCGGAATCCAACAAGGATTACTTCTATGTTTGTTCGGACTTAAACACTCCGAGTTTAGGCTGAATCTCTGATCCTGCGGAGTATTTTACGTATTTGAGGTGAATGAGTCAGGTGTTCATAACCAAAAACTAGAGACATACTGGCAGGATATCAGAACATTAAGGGAGAATTTTGAGTACACTTTGGCGGATTTACTGGAAGACGAGGGGTCCTGATTGGATTAGAAACACAAAAACTCCTCTCTCGTTCGCTTCCTCGCATATTTGGGAGGAACATATTAAATTCTTTCCTCCTCCCTCCTCTCTCCCCTTTCCAACCACTAGTTGAACGCGGAGAAGGGGGCTCCACAGCATACGGTTAACCGGGATCTTAAACCAGGAGAGCAAAACACAAGTAGAGCTGACACAAATGCCAACAGGTTGGCAAGGATTTCACCATCTACCGCGCACAGTATTTCCTTTACTAGGAGAACAGAACATGAATAGAGGTAATATTACCAACTTTCTCATTTGTCACGCAACCTCTTGCTTTTATATTGTCCGTCAAAAACATAAATCTTTACAATATGAAAATGTCTTTTAACTTATGTGGTGAAAATGGAATAATTTACTTTAATTTTTTACTAAAACAATTATTTTTACAAAATGATAACTTCATGAGGAAATTTAGAAATATTGAACGGGGCCCCCTCACCCACTCACCTGTTAGGTGATTTTGACGCACAGAGCGCGGGCGTCAGAAAGGGGGGAAGAGGCGGGGGAGGTAGGAGGCAGGTTTTAAACTACCTGACTTTAGTCCGCCTGTACCCAGCACCTCTGTAAGGTGCACTGTGCGTAACACAATTTAATTATGATTTTGGACACGTTTTGCGTAAAAACTTCATCATTGTGATTGTGAAATTATGAAGATTATTGAGAAAATTAAGGTAATTATTTAATGTCGTTAGTGTTACCAATTTATATCTATGCAATCCTATTTATATAGTTGTATTTGCAAGCTTAACAGAGTTAAGCACACTTTATCAAATAGTTTTCTGATATTTTAGTAAAGTGATTAAAAAAACTAATTTTATTCTTGTATTGCACTAAAGCACTTAATAATTATAATTTCCTGCGAATTGTTGAAAACTTAAACATTAGAAAATTTCGTATATTTCCGTGGTTTAAGTTTCAAAATGTACATGCATTTTTTAGTAGACATCTAACCAAACATGAAATCATTTTTAGATGGCCCTACTCTAAATGTGGAATATCGATTTTTGTAATTTAACGTTTATTTAAAACAAAATTAACATGTTAAAAAATGTATTTTTTCAAGAATTGTCAAAGAAATTATAAGTGACCTTTTCATTTAATATTTTAAATACCTGACTTTGACTTACATCCGTATTCGTGTTGTTTTCTATTAATTGGGAAGTGAAAAATTGATCAATTTTCTTCCCTATTTCTGCTCCATAAATGGCACTTTATGAAAACCAGTAAATAAAAGATATACATTTTTACATTGAAAACAAGTAAAATTAGAAAGGGTAGCGTAGTGAATCTACATTAAGTGATGACCCCCCACCCTTTCCAAGACATAGTCCCCCCCCACACACAGGTCTTTTCCTGTTAGGCCTAATGACCTTTCTATGCAAGCAGGCTTTTTGTCGGCTTGTTCAGCCAGTCGAAGTCAATACAGGGCTTTGCCTTGAATAAATCAATATGCGGCGTCATGTACTCCAAAGTGTCTCAAAATCATCAAAAAATATTTTTCTAAGGTCATGTGTAAAATTATACTTTTCTTAAAGGGACTGTAAGCGTACTTTAAAGTGACCCTCTATACGAGGATGTCAATGTCCGATTCACAACGGTACCCTTTAACCTAATGTGGAAGATATTATTGTTATTCTAGGGTCAAAAGTGTTAAATTCTGATAATTCCTACATGCTTTCCTGCAGAAGAAATGCCCATTTCATTTTTGTAGAGAAACTATAATGAAAAAAAATCAGTTTTCAAATTTTTATTCTCGATCATACATTGTCATTATTGCATGGAGGGTCGTTCCTTTAAAAAAAAAAAACATTTTTTCGTAAGATTTTTAACTTTGGCCAAAGAAATTTTTATTAAAACATTCTTGGTTACTGTTAGGGAATTTATAAATAAACAATTGTCTCTTTTCTTCGAGTTCATCAAATTGAGTTTTTTTCTACCGAAGTAAGTCTTTAATATAATTTTCTAGATATTCTATAATTTGCGCTGTTTTCCAATTGTTATTTGAAACTTTCCAAAAGCTGATAAAAACATTTTACAAAGACAGTTGACAATTAGAAGTGTTTTTTTCTTTAATTTTAATGAATGCCAAAACAGTTATAAATGAAAAGTTATGTATTTAGAACTATATACAAGTATTCGTGCACCACTATATGTCTGGGTGGGCTAGGCGCCACTTACATTTCATGCAGCAAAAAACATGGTTTGTTGCCTTGAGGCCGAATAGCGATGAAATCTCTATATTCTTTCAGTTTCCTCATACCAACGTGTTTCATGCAGTTTAAACCTGTTCAATACGCTAACCTGGGATTATAAATAGCACTAATAGAGATATTGCTTTTAATGTAGTACATGTGTACATAAACAATGTACCACTGCAAACTACATAGAAGGATAAGAGATATTGTTTAAATGTTGTACACGTGTATATAAACAATGCACCACTGCAAACAACATTGAATGATAAGAGATATTGTTTAAATGTTGTACATGTGTACATAAACAATGTACCACTGCAAACTACATAGAAGGATAAGAGATATTGTTTTAATGTTGTACATGTGTATATAAACAATGTACCAATACAAACTACATAGAAAGATAAGAGATATTGTTTTAGTAATGTACATGTGTATGTAGACTATGTACCACTGCAAACTACATAGAAGGATAAGAGATTTCTATACTACGTTGAAATCTACTTAAGTTTAAAGTGATATATAAAGTATAAATGAAACCTTCATGAAAAGTAATTGGAAATTATTTAATATTGTTCTTTCTAATATTCTTTTTGCTCTATTACCCCAAAAAGCTGGGGGGCGGGTCACATAATTAAGCTAGGTTTCAGTTTCATCTTGTAAAACTTTTTTGTGAGATTTGAAGATTCTTCCAAAAAATACGCATTTTCAAGGTTCCTTTGCAGCTAATATCGTAGCAATCCCCATACTTGTTAACCTGAGCATGCCTAGATAAACATGAGCTAAATAACATGATTAAAACATGCACTGTGACTAGATTAACTACGTTTATATCTATCCATGTTAATCTTATAAATATGTACATTCAACTTAAATTATGCTGTAAACATGTTTGGAGATAGCTGAACTAAGCCATATTTACCCTTGCTAATCTTATAAATATGTACATTAAACCCATTCAATGTATGTAAATATATAAATGACTCCCTCATACTTATATTGTGATTGCTTAACTAATAACTTTGTTATATATAACAGCGCATAACTTGTAATTACGTTTTTAATGACCCAATTCTAATTTAAACTGAAGGAATATACCTTAGTTCATATAGAGACTCTGTACTGTTTACTGCGAAAGAGTAATCGTTCACTGTTTTGATAAACAGGTTGAGGATTGTCCCCTTTGATTTGGGATTGAATGATATTTATAACTAACGAGATCGCGCCCAGTGGTAGTGGCATTGATAGATCACGGATCGTATGCATGTGGTTCACTGTTCTGCTAAGCAGGTTGATGATCATTCCATTTAATTTGGGATTAATAGTTGCGAGCTTCTGATTGATATCGATAGCTAACGATATCGCGCCCAGTGGTAGTGGCATTGATAGTTCACAGTTCCCTGTTCTGCTAAACAGGTTGAGGATCGTCTCCTTTAATTTGGGATCGATAGTTGCGAGCTTTCGATTGATTGATTGATTGAGAATCTGAGTTGTTGTACCTAGATAGATACGTTCCTATAAAATTGTTATGTATTTACTAAGGTATTTACTAATCTCCCTGTGATAAATAGTTTGCAAATTTTAAGTTTCTCCCTATAACCGATATTTTGCAGCCTTTAATTCATTAATGACGAGAAGGTCAATTTTGATGGGTGAGATTTTTTTTAAGTGCCTTTTTTCTTAAACTAAATGTTGTCCTTTCTTTTCCTGCGCTTTCCTTAGGATTCCCTGTTTTAAAAACATATTCTATATTTGATGTAACTTCAAAATTGGGGTTTCTATTAAATTTTTTATTTTAAAAAACCCAAAAAAACAAGATTTTGAATTCGGAAAAATAACCAAAAGAACACCCTGTAATTTAGTTTTGAATCTATAAAATTGTCAATTTTTTTGCTAGAAAAAATTTAAAGATGTTTTTGGAAACTTCTTTTAAAGATCTAAATAACTAAAACATGAAAAGTAAAGTTTTGAAGATAATTAAATAATTATGAATTACCAAAGTTTTTTAGATTTTCATGTTTTACAGGTCACCCTGTACAAAAAAATCAAAAATTTAATTGAACATCGTTTTTTCATTAGTACAATCAAGTTTTGTTTTGACAAGATCCTTCTAAAACAACTTCAATAATAGTTAATGGTCTCGTCACTAACTTATTTAAGATTAACTCTGCAAAAGAATCATTTTTTTATAAATATTTTGCAGGATTTTGTTTTAAAGGTCTTCGGTCCCGGTAATACTCTTTTTTTTAATTTTTGCAGGTTTTTAAGATTCATCCTTTAGTAGATTTTAAACAGCCTTTTATAATTCACCCTGTAAAAATAACTCGATGTTCACTCTGTTAAACACACAGGCAGATTTAAGGTATTCTCTGTAATTAACGTACATGCAGATTTTAAAATTGCAATACATATTTCTTTATTGTGTTCTGTGTCATCCTGCAATATTTTTGCAGGTTTAAATTTTACCCTGCAATAAACATATTTTTGCAGGTTTTAATTTCCCCTTGTAATACACATTTTTGCAGGTTTAGATTTCCCCCTGTAATACACATTTTTGCAGGTTTAGATTTCCCCCTGTAATACATATTTTTGCAGGTTTAGATTTAGCCTTGAAATAATTTTTTTGGCAGGTTTAGATTTAGCCCTGAAATACATATTTTTGGCAGGTTTAGATTTAGCCCTGAAATAAAAAATTTTGCAGGTTAATTCTAGGTTGTGTAGGGCATGAGAACATTCATTACTCTTATTTGAACGATAAACCCGTAAACCTAACAAAATGAAATTATACACCTTGCAATTTTATATTTCGAATTTTCATCAGTTTTTCATTTTAATTCAACTATATGGAGAAATGGCATGACTTTCGAAACGATTTAAAGAACACCCTAAACACCCAACCCCCCTGTTAATAAATCTTTAATTATAACATAAATAAATAAGTTATTTTAGTTTTCAATTTTGTCATATTGGTGAAATATACAGTTTTTCTATCACTTAATGCTTAAGATATTCAATTCTTATTTTTTTGTGTTTACAATTTTGATTGAAAATGTGATCCCTATTTAAACATTTTTTTTTTATCATTTTTCAATTAAACTTTTGTGCAAATCACTAATAAACAATTCATTTTTTTCTCTCTTCGAACCCAACTGGGACTTTTCACGTTTTGCGTATTTTCTGTTTTCTTCCCATAGATTCTCAATGAAAATTCTGTAAAATTATTGCAATGTTCAAATAAATAGTTAACAGTGATTTTAAACTTATATTTTGTATTAGACAATATTTTTTATGATATTTTTCTTCTACGAAATATAATCTAAACCTTGGTGGGGAGGGGACAAAAATGAAGGCACATGATTCAATTATTTTCACAACAGATATTTTACAGAATAATTATAAACTGCTAAAACGATCACAAAACAAAATGACTAAATGACAAAAAAGAAAATGACCGAAGGACAAGAAAGAAAATGACT